TATTAAGTTATAGTTTTGGCATGGGAATCAGGTTGACCCTTTTTGAGCAGGTAATTCGAAATCAATGCCTGTAGACCAGTTCCCTACAGAAGAGGTGGAAGAGTGGGGGGTTTCAGCCTGTGACCCGGCAGGTCCTCAGGCCTGGGTGTGTCACCAACTTTGTAGGATTGTTGCTGTGCAAGAGCATATCCCATGACTCACAGGTGCCCTGCCAGCTGGAGTCCCCTCAACAGGATTCTAGAGCGCCATACATCTGGAGAAATGGCGATGAGACGGGAGCAGAGATGTTCCTGGGCTGTCACTCGGCACCTCTTCCCTGATGGCACTTGGCATGGCCATGAAATTGATTGGGATCACAAGTCAGAAAGCCTTTGACAAAATATGGCTTCTTTTCATGAAGACACAGCCTGAAGGATTTGCAGAGTGATCCTTCTGAAGCATCGTACGCTGGTTTGGAGTTTCAATCAGTGATCCTTGAGTTTCGGATCACCTCCTAGCAAATGCTTGTCTTGATTTCAGGCCTTTACTTCATATGATGGTTATATGTCAGCAGATACAATGTGTGCTAACGATGAGTCAGGCCACAACACGGCAACCACTGTAAATCCGTAGGCCGTGTTCACTGACACATACAGTTAGGGCTCACTGGGTTGGTAGTGTTCCCCAAAATGTCAGAGATGGAGATGGACATGCTAGATCAGGGTGTCACTGTGGACTGACTCTCTGTGCCCCAAATGTCTGTATATATACTCAAGGTTATGAGCTTGTAAATTCCTGGAATCGAGGGAGCTGAGTGGTTATGAAAATTGGGAAAGTATCGTTGATATCAGGCTCTCGTTGGATGGTGCGTTGACTGGCCAAGTCAGAAACAGGGTCAAGGACCAAGTGTAACTCCAGACCTGGCATTGGGATAGTGGCCTCAGCTTGTTATAAAGACCAAGGGGTGTGTCATAATCTAACCCAGAGTGATTAGCTACAACCATGAGGTTGTAGGGAGGGCCTACAGAGGACCCCAGGCTGTGTTGGGATGACATTTGAGCTCTCCCTAAGGACTCCCCCTGTTGGTTCTGTGTGCGTGTACTTCATTCCATCCTTCTTCAACATCCATGGCTCAGATGACAACTAGCTCATGAAAACTCGCTTTTCTCCTCTTGTCTCTTTGGCTTCCCAGGGGAGTTTCCAGAGGACTAATCTCTTGTCACTGTCACTGGGATAGACCAGGGGGGACACTAAGTCCCTATTCCCATCCCAGTTTGCTGTGCATCCCCAAGTGTTATGGAGCGCTCGCATCCCCCTTAGGTGTCCAACACACAAAAGCCCGTCTTCACTGTGCCATCCAGCCTGGGGATGGGGAGCCCTGGGTGGCGCTGTGTGGCTGCTGGGAGGTGTGGCACCTGTCCTGGTCATCACCCCTCAGGAATTTCTTCTTCACCTTGTGTGAAAGGCTTGGCTGTCCACATGGCCTCTGGCTTGTCACCTAGTTCTGTCACCATCTCCCCTGAACTGCAAAGACAGTCAAAGTGGTTGACCCTGACCCCCCAGCCATGCTGAGTCAAGCTTCCTGCAGTGCGGCATCGTTGCTTCTGATGCGACGAGCCCGGCTGTGGATTCGATGGACCAGGTCGCATTCGGGCTCCTTCACTTGCTAATGGAGATGTCAGGATCTGAATCACAAGGTTGTTGGGAAGGTTAAATGAGATCATGTGGGCACAGTGTTAGCCCAGGTCCTGGCACAGAGCAAGTGCTCAAAGAGTTTGAGATCTTACTGTTTTGATTCTCATAACTCTTTGTGGACAGTTCTCTTGTGAATAATGGCAAAAGTCAAGGCTGTCACGACAGGGTGACTGCAGGACAGTGGGTGGGAGACCATGGAGGAGTGTTGCTGTGGCCCATGGGGTAAGAAGACAGACACAAGGGCAGCTGGTTTCTCAACTATGGGTCACAAGAGTTCATCGCTCCATGATGGCCTTCCTTGCCCTGGCCGTGGGACAGGCAGTCCAGCATTCCACTCTTCACACCTCCTCCTGGGCCAGGCCAGTGCCCTTGGGTTGTCTGAGAGCCCACACTCACTCTGTTGTGAGTTCAGCCTTAATAGCAAACCTTACAATCACGTCCATAGTTTCAGTTCAGCTCCTTCCTCCGAGGGAGCTACATCCACTTCTCCAGAGATCTCCCCAGAGGAAACAGACTGCACAGAGGGGTCTAGAACAACCCCATTCCTAATCTTCCAGGCCCCTCTGGCTCCAAATCCCTCCCACATTATAAATGAACAAAACATCCCTGTGGAACCCTCGAAGAAGACAATTCTGTCTTCCCCCTTAGGCGTCTCTGTCTCCCACCTGATCCGAGCATAACCCTTATTTTTCATTCATCAGCATTAAAAAGAACAGAACTCATTACAGAATAATTCTGTGTGCTGGCCCTAGCAGAGACTGGGGCTGTATTCTTAGCGTCCGCAGCCCTCCCCCCCTTCTGTATTTCTCTCGGTTTCTCCCTGTCTTCCTCCCTGAGTGTTGAGGATGCCCCGCACACGGCCTTCTGCGGCTCAGGAAATCACAGAGCATCAGCCCTTTTCCTCCATGGCTCCCAGTGGCTTTCCCTGTGGCTGCCATGGCCTTTGTTTCTTATAAGCATTATAGGCTACACATAATGGAAAGAAACTTAACCACTAAAGGGAAAAGCTGGAGATAAGAGTTTATAATTACAGGGAAACAGCAAGAAAGAGCAAAGCTCTCTCCCCCAGCATCTAGGAGCGAAAGAGGGTACAGGCGAGGGGGCGGGTCCACGAAGCCACTGCTAAAGGCCAATGAGCTCCTTTCTTTCAAAACTAGACCGGCTTTCAGGAGTCCCCTCGCATCCACCGTATCATTTTTCCCCAAATCTGATACTGTCACAACTTTGAAGTCATTGCCTTTAGCATAGAAATTATCTAAAGAAACCAAAAGGGAAAAGCAAAATTTTAAGTCACTTTTGCTCCCTGTCAAATATTGGGAACACAGTGTCCAGAAGATTCTAAAAAGAAGCCCGTTTGAACTGAATGCTTCTGATATTATAGGCCATACTCTACCCTTGCTTTTATTAGATAATTAAAAAGTTGAACTTTAACAAATAATTTTTTTTGCCAAGGTGCAGTTAGTTATCAGTTACTAGTCAACTTATCTACCTTTTTTTCCAAAAAGGCTTGTGTGTGGATCCTAGCCTGTTTCTCTCACCCACTCTGTCTGATCTGAGAGCCAGCTTGTTGATTTCCACCTCCAAAATATCTCCCAGAGGTCCATATCTCTTGGCTACAATCCAGGCCCGCAGTGTTCCTGCTCACTTTATTGCAATAACATCAAGACCAGTAGATGTTCTTGCCTTTGCTCTCTACTCCCCCCAACCCACACTCTCAGTGGTTGCTAGATTGTCATTAAAAACACAAATCCGATTGTGTCACTGTGTCACTTTCCTCCAGGGCAATGGTTTTTCGTCCCCTAGGAGCCCAGGACTTCCGTTCCAATAGCTCGCTGTTCCTGAGCACACCTTCCTTTCATGACCAAGGGCTGTGGTGGGATGTTTCTCCATCTGCAAGTCCCTTCTCTGCCTGGCAAACTCCTACACATCCTGTAAGACCTGGCCAAGGGTCATCTCTTCTAGAAGCTTCCCTGTTTCCCCAGGCGGGAAGCCTCCTTCTCTGTGCTCTCCTTACACCTGTGTATCCCTCCATGGTGGCCCTGATCACATTGCCCTGGGCTCCTCCACCAGCCATGAGGTCCTCTGTTTGGTCAGCCCAGGATCCCACACGCAGCATATATTTGATCAATGCTTGTCCCGTGAACAAGTATCTGAATTGATAGGGCAGTTGCTAATGTAACTACAAAGAGAAAACAACCCATAAAGCATTTGTTTCTGAGAACACAGGACGGCCAGCCAAGATAGAGGACTCCTACGGTGTCTGCGGCGTCTGCGTAAGCAGCATTATGCTTTTCTCTTCCTCATGGTTACACAAACCCTCGCCTTCTTAACTCCTGCAGAGCCACTGGGTTCTGCGTTAGAGCTTCTGCCTTGAATCTGGATCAAACGCTCCTGTGGTCCCTTTAAGTGTGGCTGAGATGGTCTAAATTTAAACCTCTCATTCCTTCTCCTTCCCCTTTGCTCCAAGATGTATCATTTCACATAAGACACTACAGGGAGCTCTTAAGAAAGAAGGCCGCTGCTTAAATGTACTGAAGTTTCATTTCATTTAACGTGTTAAATTCACTTAACATCAAGGAGTGCTGTTGATTTCAAGTTAACATCATTTGTGAATAAATCAACAAATCGTTTACACCCACAAGTATTGTCTGGGCTGTTGCTCTGGACACAGAACATGATTATTCTTGATCTTAGACTAAATTTAGAGACTTATCTGCCTGAAAATATAAAGAATTGCCATTTCTCTTCCGAGTTAATGTTTCTTTTTAATTAAACTTTAAAAACCACTTTGAGAGCACTGTATCAAAATATTCTGTATTTTCTACTCCCAGCACTTAGCGGAAGGTACAAAACTATAAACTAAAAGAGGACAGAGGACACTGGAATAGAGAGGCGAGGTTTAGATTTTTGATTAGAATATAAAATCTTAACTCTTAGGCTCAACAAACATTCCCTTTCTTCCAATATAGCTTCAGTCTGAGATGTCTAAATAAATATTTCTTTAAAAACTTTAAAAAATGTATTTCACTGTAGAAAAATACAAAATATGGATAATAAACAGGCAAAAAGAAAAATCTACAAAAATTCCTACATCGAAGCCAATCGTGGTTAACATTCCAGCACAGAGTTTTCCGGACTGTCATAGGAACATATTCTTCTAGATATCTACGTACACCAAAATTGGGTTGATCGATATGTAGTGTTTTGAACAATGGTCTTTAAGTTGGAGACTATTTTTAGTCCTGCTCAGGGGGACATTTGCTATATTCAACCCCCCTTATGTGTCAGTGCCCAATTGACTTCAGACTGAAATGGCCCCTACTTACCGTGCCCTTTGTGGCAGGGACACCGTGACGGCTTCTCCCTGCTGGTGCTCTCGGAGATTGCGGACCAGGCATGGTGGTGCTGCTCCAGGACGGCAAAGAACTGAGCTTAGAGTCTCCTGACCCAACTGGACCTGAGTCGTCAGCACATACGCTGGCCGTTCCAGGCAGAGGCGCTATGAGAAGGCGCTATTCCATGCAGAATGCCCAAGCACTGCACGCATGCGCCCTAGCATTCTCTTGCTCGCTCTCTCTCTCTCTCTATCTGCCAACTGGCTAGAAAGTAGCAAGTTCTCCTTCCTTCTTTCTCTCTCTTTATCTCTCTCACCCTAAACTTGAATCGACTTGCCAAATTCTTAAGAACTTCATGCCGCAAGGGTCTCTTTTCAGCCAATGTGACTTACAGGGTCATCCTTGCACAAAACAGGTCAGTCAAGCACCTCTCTTTGCAGAAGCTTCTGTCAACTGTCGGACACGCTTACCCAAGGGTACAGTGTGGGACAGTGATTGAAAAGCTGCGCACTGTTTCCCTTCATGTCGAATAAAAAGTGTTTCCATGAGCGATTGCTTTTTATAGCGCACACAGGTGGTTGTACTACCAGCCCCTCTCAGGAAGGCAGAGGGCTCTGCTCCTTGCCCTTGCTAAGAGAAGCCTTTTAAGAGAGAAGAGAAGCATTGCTAAGTGACTTGCTTTTTTCTGGGAATTTGAATCATTGATATTTTCAAACTTTTTCTTAGTGTCAGCCGTTTGAATTGATTCCAACTGGTAATAAACAGAAAACATCTATTTCTCAAGAATTTTCTATCAGAGCTCTTATAGTCATTCATAAGACCCTTCAGAATTTTAGATTTAGCTGCAGCTTGAAAGGTAATCTGGCCCAAATGCCCCATTTTATAAATTCAAAATCAGTAATTTCTTCAAGATCTCCAAGTAGCCCAATTTTGGATTGCCTTCCAGCATTTTCTAAAATATTGCAATTTAGTCTCTGCTACTGGACTCATCATTTGCATTGGGTATAAAGATGGCATTCCAGACCAAGGTGCATGTTCTAGATGTCACTAGTCTGTGTGCTGCATGTAAGCAATGGATGTAGCAGGAATAGAATGACTTTCTTTGCTGATCTTTGTGTGGACTTAAACTCGTTGGCATAGTTTCAGAGAATACAGAGAATCTGTTAAAAATTCAAAAATGAAGCTCCCGTCTTAAGGTTGCACGTTGAGAAAACCGTGCCTTATGAAGCTCCAACTTTCTTTAAACAATGTGGAAGGAGAAGAATGACTTCAGTTCAGGAAGAGGGAAGCTGAAGTGGACTGGGACAGAGTCTCAGTTCTAGTCCAGACTTTTCTGCACTGAGGAATTTACTAGCTTATCAATTTCAAGGCAAGGCATCTGAAATACATGTAGCCTTTAGCCAGTTAGTCTGAGTAGGAGTCTATTCTGCTCTATCATATCCACCCCTTTCTTTGGAGCCAATGTTCATGGTTGTGGGGACCAGCCGTGCTATGACTTGGCTGCCACCACTGGCCATGGCTGGTCTGCTTCTGGCAAGGCCAACAGTTTTTCCACACGGCTCCTGACTACAGTCAACCCTGCTCCAAGAATAATCATCATATCCAAATTAGGATATGGTTCTTTCTTGGGAATTTTGCAAGTGAAATGACGAGAAGAAACCATTACTTGGGCATTGGGGTGGCAGGAGGAAAAGTTAGGGATCCCTCAGGGGGCCATACACCCCCAGTGCATTCTGGGTAAGAGGAGAGAGCCAGTCTGCAAAGCGAGGAGCAGGGTGAAGCTGATGGAGCAGAGCAAAGTGAGGGGCTGAGGGACCCTCATGGCAGCCATGGGGTTCTGTGGGTTCGCATATTTTCTAATTTTGAGTTTTGTGAGTCTTTCCAGAGTCCTCATGGCAAATTCACATCTCTAACTCCTAAAAATTGATTCATTACAAGTGAAGCAGGAGTCGCTGGAGAACACTGAATCCATCAGCCATGGGCAAGAGAGCTTTTGTGGAAGCCCAGAAGTCCTGCAGAAAAGTTCCAGCACACCACTGGAGCAAAAAAATCTGAGACTGCACACATTTGAGGGAGTAAGAGGAACAGGTTGACTTCACCTACATCCATCCTCCCCTGCAGCAGCACAGCTCAGGGCAAAGAGAGCGAGCCCTTCCCTGCCTGTGATTTCTCCCACAGGGAAAGCGAGAGTGTGGGAGTGAATGCCTGGCTTCCCCAGCTGTGTGGGATGCTGCTAAAGAGGGCCATTTCTCTCTCGCCCCATCCAGGGTACTGAGTCATGAGCTGCATGATGCCGGGTGTGAGCGTCTGGCAAAACAGCAGCCAGGGCTCAGAAGGGAATGTACTAAAGGGATGTGGATCCTACTAAGCATGTCATGGACTCCATCAGGAGGCCTGTGCATGAACTGCTGGGGACCTCTCACCCCTGGAGCCCCCCACCTGGCCCATGGGCACCCCAGAGCTCTGCATGTCTCACTCACGCACACCCCCACCCCATGGTCAACAACTGCACATGCTCCTGGTGCTGGCAAGAGGGAGCTTTGGCAGATGGCTAGTGAGCATGTGCAGAAAGTCAGCCTGAATCTGCAGGCCAGGGAGAAACCACAAACTAGATAAACCTCACTTGATAAATCACTGCCTTTGGGAAAGCAAAAGGGAGGCAGTCAGCACTCGGCTTGGCGCGTGGCAGGATTGAGAAAAGGCATACAAGCTGCCCTAAGAGGAAGCAAGGAATGTGGAACAGGCGCATCCATAGAAGGTCGGAGAATAAAAAGCTGAATTCATAGAAACAGAGAGTAGAATGGTTGCTAGGGCCTGAGGGAGGTGGGGCTGGGGGAAAAGAGGAGATGTCAGTCAATACTGTACTGTATACTTGGAAGTTGCTAAGAGAGTAGATCTTAAATGTTCTCATCGGGCACACAAAGAAGGTAATTATGTGAGATGATGGAGGTGTTAACTAACTCTACTGTGGTCATCATTTTGCAATATACAAGTGCACCAAATCATCATGTCGTACACCTTATATGTCAACTATATCTCAATAAAGCTGGAAAAGAATCTCGTCGTTGGAGGTTTTTTCTTGAGTTTCATATTTCCTGGAGGATTACCCTTATTTCTTATGATATTCCAATTGTTAAGTCTAACATTAGTCTTACATATTGCTACTTTGAATAAACACTATTATAGATAGTAAGCAGAAGTTTATACAATCTAAAGTAGGATATACTACATGATATATTTATATTAACAAATAGAACATGTTTTATTTTTACATTATAACAGTTATATATGATTACTGGAAAGAATTTAGAAATTATTGAAAAAGTAGAAAGAAATAAATGCTGGTAATACTTTGGTAAATTTCTCGCCTGATTCTTTTCAATGCATTTTGCATAGTTGTAATCCTTCTATAGACACAATTTTGTTTCCTATTTTTTCCAGTTACCATTACAGCACGCACATTTCCATGTATATTATAAGCTTTGTATGTTTTTTTTTTTTTGAGGAAGATTAACCCTGAGCTAACATCTGCTGCCAATCCTCCTCTTTTTGCTGAGGAAGACTGGCCCTGAGCTAACATCCATGCCCATCTTCCTCTACTTTATATGTGGGACACTTGCCACAGCATGGCTTGCCAAGTGGTGCCATGTCCATACCTGGGGTCTGAACCGGTGAATCCCTGGCCACCAAAGCAGAATGTGTGAACTTAACCGCTGCACCACAGAGCTGGCCTCTATAAGCTTTTTATGTTTTTGTGGTCATATATTATTTAATATTATAGATACACTGTCATTTATTTATTATGTCCCCATAATTTTAAGGAATTAGATGGTTTCAAAATTCAACTTTAAACAACATTATGGTGAACGCCTTTGTCTATACTTGTAAACTATTTTTACGGTATTTAGGACTATAATAAATACTATATCTAGTATTTAGGATTATTTGCTTAGAACAAATTCCTACAAGTGTATTTTTGTCTTAAAGGTTCTATTTTATTTTATTTTTTTTGAGGAAGATTAGCCCTGAGCTAACTACTGCCGGTCCTCCTCTTTTTTTTTCCTGGGGAAGCCTGGTCCTGAGCTAACATCCGCGCCCATCTTCCTCTACTTTATACGTGGGACACCTGCCACAGCATGGCTTGCCAAGTGGTGCCATGTCCGCACCTAGGATCCGAACCGGCGAACCCCGGGCCGCGGAGAAGTGGAACGTGAGAACTTAACCACTGCACCACCTGGCCGGCCCCAAGTTCTGATTATTTTAAAACTATTTGTACACACATTACCATTCCACTCCAAAAGGATTGCACCAATTTATTCTCCATCTAGTATTCAGGAATGCTCCCTTTTCCCCATTCTCACTAGCATACGGTGTGCTCATAGTTTAAAATCTTTGTTAATTTGATAGAGGAATAATTTTTTTCTTGTAATTAGTTTGTGAAGGATTATCATAAGACTGAACATTTTTCAAATGTTTTTTAACCAAATGTATATCCTCTTTAATGATTTCTATTCATGGTTCTATCGCAAACATTTAAAAGAAGGACAGTAGAGGAGAGGGGTCCTGAAGTGGCTTCTGACAATCACCCCTGACACAGTCATCCCTTTGTGACATGAAAATACCCATGATGACATGGAAAATGATGAAAACTCATAGTGCCACCAAAAATTAGTGCCAAAACATAGAAGAAAGTTCCACCTCACAGGTGCTGCTGTTTGAGGGGCCAAGCCTGTGCCTTAATTCAGTGATGGTGTTTCATTTTCCAAGCTCATTTGGTTGTAGAACTCTATTATCTTGGAGCACTTGTGGTACCCAGGTTCCACTGAATCATGGGAAATGCTGTCTAAGGAGCTTTCATATTATGGATGAAGAACAATATGCCCAGCCAAGGTGCCTTTCATGAGTAAAGACCTTAGAGAGACTTTTTCAGATATAAAAGCTTCAGAAACAGATGCCTGGGGGCCACCTCTATTATTTCTGGGTCCAGGGACAAGACAACAAATAGTGGTCTACATACCCCTATTTATGTGGTATTTAAAAATTATAAATCAAGGTAAAAAAACTCTTCAGTAAAATATGTCCTATCTTCCTGACTCTTCATCATGACTCGGAGGACCTGGTTGGAGCTGTGCACTAGAACACAGTGACGGCAGCCAGCCTTTGACAGTTGTCCCAAGCCAGCCCCCTGCTCTTCCCACCCACTGGGGGGCTTGCATGGAGAAAGGGGCACCCAGCCTTCTCTCCTTGCTTCACCCTCACCCCCCCCACCCCCACCAACAGCCCAATTTTAACAGAACACAGACACCGCTCAGTTTTCTCCTTCCCCAAACCATTACATGTGTCTCATAGGAAACTGCCCCATCCATGGTTGGGGAGGACAAGTCTTCATTAGGCCCCAAGCGATGGGCCTGGGGGAGGCCCAAGCAGGCTGTGAAAGCAGACTAGAGCCTCTGGGCTGGGAATTCCAGGCCCTGGGTGTTGGGAAACTAGGAGGGGACATGAGCTCAGGGTAGCCACATCCCTTTGGCCTCCTGAACCTTTCGCCCATGGGGAGAGGTGTAGCCAGAGAGAGTCCAGAAGGGTCACCCTCCAGAACAGAAGCCGGAGCAGAGGCCCCTCTTGCTGGGTCCAGAGGCAGTGGTGTTCCCATCGCTCTTCTTGACAAACTTGCTTGAAGGTGGACTGCATCCATCTGAAAGATGAACTGAGAATGGGAAGAGGAGGATATAACTGGGCCATGGGACTACCAAGAGGCCAGTGGTTCTCAGGGTGGGTCAGCAGACCCGCAGCATCCCCCGAAAACTTTCTAGGAATGTACTGAATCAGACACTGGGGTGAGCCCTGCAGTCTGTCTCAGCAGGCCTTCCAGGGGACTGTGATGCGGCGAATGTCGGAGAGTCACAGAACTGAGTCCCAACCTTGTCACAGGTGTCCTAAGAGGCCACCTGAGCCGATGAGCCATCCACACCTAACTGATGGGGCTCCATCGGGCCCTCCATGCCGGGAGGGGCCCGGCCTCCTTTCCCTACAGCATCACAAGAAGGGAGAGTTGGTGATTCATTATGAATTGTTCTTTCTGCAGCTGGATTGCCTGGAATTGGATGCAGGAAGTTCCTTTGGAAAAGCCTCTCCCCAGGCAGGAATTCCCCCAAGGATCAGAAGTCAAGCTCAGTGTGTGGATAGCCAGGGAAGAAAGATCAACCATCCACACTGGCGCATTCCATCGACCTTCATCCTCTCCGTGTCAGTTCTCCCTGAGCGAGAACTGCAAAAGGAACTCGGAGTCCCACTCTCTCTCCCCAGCACTGGAGATTATTCTGATAAATGAATGGCAAGCAACAGGATATATTGGAGTATATGAGAAAGCCATGTGGTGTAAACCTAACTCAGCCTGACCTTCTTTTTCCAAAGGAGCCTGACATGGCTGTTGAGCATGCATTGTATATCTGCTTTAGCATTTGCTGTGTCCCAAAGACAAGACTAAATGCCCTTACGATAAAGACGCAACTTCCCCCACGTTGGCATTTCCTTAAGGATGAGCATCTCTCCCTCTGCTAGGAATTGATTGCTGCGCCCACTCTGTGACCACCCAGCTCAGGACAGCAGACCTGCTACCCTGCTGTATGGATAGCTGTGCTGTGTCGACAGAGCAATCTCGTGACTGTTGTAAAAGGGACATTCCTATCATATGTGATGTCTGCTCTTTGTTCAAAGATGGTATATAATCACTCTGTGCACCCCACTTGGGGAAGGAAGGCCCCGGGCTCAGATCTGGCTCGTAATAAACTCACTCCAGTTTTGATTTATAGAGTGGTTATGGATTATTTGAGTCAATATCTCTCTGCTTCTGAGATGGGAATTTTGCTTTTGCATAATAATGCTAAGGCCAGTCATGGAGATTCAGACACCATTTAAAAATAAGTAATTTTTTAAGGCTCCCTAATAAGGCAATGGTAATCCTTTTGCTATCTGTAGATAAAATAAACAGGATACATATGTTTTTAGCACAAAAGATGGATTTTTCATTATGTACCCAAAGTTATAAATCAGGAATGATAATTCAAATACATTTAGCTGTTTAAGTGCTAAAAAAGTACCGCATAACAAAACTACTATGAATTAAAATAACCCTTATATTTCGTATTTTCTTAATTATAACAGCATCTACATTAATTCAAATCACCCCGGATGATATAAGAAAGGTATCGTTTATTTAGTCTGGACACCGAGTCTGGAATTCCCTGCCATAATCTGTGCCTTGCTGGGAGCCGAACTCCATAGGTCAGATGGTTGCTTTATCCAGTTTTTTCCAATTATCAAGCGAACTGTCTCGTTGGTGGCATCTTGCTCTTCCGAGGGAGATACTTGTTTACTAGGAAAAGGGGTTGGTCACAGTTGCCATCTGTTATGAGCCGAATTGTGTCCCCTCCTAAATTTGTATGCTGAAGTCCTAACCCCTAGTACTGCAGGATGTGGCTGTATTTGGAGAGAGGGTCTTTCAAGAGTTAACTTAAAATGAGGTCATGGAGTGGGCCCTAACCCAATAAGACTGAAGTCCTTGCAAGAAGAGATCAGGACACACAAAGGAAACACCATATACTCCAATATATCCTGTTGCTTGCAACACTGGTGGCAGTCTACAAGCCAAGGAGAAACGTCAGGAGAAACCAAACCTGTCAACACCTTGATCTCAGACTTCCAGCCTCCTGAATCACGAGAAAATAAATGTCTGTTGTTTAAGTCACCCAGTGTGTGATACTTTGTTACAGGAGCCCGAACTGGCTACCCCACCATCCCATCTGATCGGCTCCCGGCCGTCTTTCTACAGGAGAACCAGGCGGTTGGCCATTCTGGTTTCCGTGGGTACTCTGCCTCTCCCCAGGTCTGATTTATGAGCCCTGTCTTCTTTGGTATTTATGGCAGCTCCTCCTCGGCATCCTTTGCTGTTTGGATAAGCATGACCTTTGCCCCTTCCCCTAAATGCTAAATAAAGAAGTGACAGGTTTGACAGGCAGCCCCTGTCACCCCTTTGTCTCACCCCCTGCTCGGGCCTTCCTTGGGCACCATATGCTGTTATTTATGATCTATTTGTGTGTGGTCCTTCGGTCTCTTATTTTTCTTTACAAGCTTCTTATCTGAGCCCACGGAGAGGTATCTCCATCTCTAGAGGTCCCCTAGTTATCTTTAATCTTGTGGTGTGAAATAAAAATATCCAGTACCCTGAAAACAGAGAGCTGAGAGTCTCTGATGGTGGCCTATTTCATGCACACAAACATGCACACACACACACACAAGCATATACGTGTGAAGCCTTTTGGTCGAATTATGATTTGTGTGGACATGCCTGCCTCCAATCCACGACGTGTGAAGTTTTTCTAGGATGGCGACTGCGTTGTATATCTCTCTGTTGCTCCAGCCCTAGCAGGACGCCTGATCTTTAGTAGGTGTGCAATCATTCTTTTTTCCAAAGGATGGATGGATGGATGATCATGAGGGAATGAAAATTCCAAGCTTACAGAAGCAAAACCATAATTTCTGATCATTTCAACGTTACCAAACTTTCCTACCCAAAGGGCAGGACTTATCTCTTGATGCAAAACTTTGAAAATAAACTAGGTCACTGGAAGTCGCTCTTGCAGCAGGCTGACTCTATACACGTTGATTGTGAATGCAACATTGATTTCGATTTTTCATCCTAGTCTCTTTGCTTGGCTCCTTTCCCGGTGCACAAACTCCCATCAAGGTCAGATTCATTTATAGTATCCAGGATCAACTATTTCTCCCGGGGTTGTAGAGAGGAACAAGATACTTTGTGACTCCCTGCGTGCTTAAATGGAGATGAGGTTTTATTCTGTGGCTGAGGGAGAGGAGACAGGTTTGGGCAGAGGCACTTGGTGGAGGGGGGATGCAGGCAACAGCAGAATGGCTCCGGGGACCATTCTAGACAGAGATGTTCCAGGCCGAAGCTGGTGGGTCAGAGGAGCTGCTTCGTGAGACCTGGGACCCAGGGGAGGCTGCTTTGGGGGCAGACAGTGCAATCCCCCAAAGAATTGGGGGAGGCCATTCTTTTCACTTTTTACGCTGTGCTCAGCTGAGCAGCAGGGAGCACAGGGCATGTGGTGCGGGAGTACGGGGGAGGGCGGTGGCCGTGGTGATAATACCATCATGCACTTCTTGGGCAGGACAAACATTAGTGGGTTCACCAACAGTCCACGCGGACACCCCTGGAGTTCCAGCCACAGCAGGAGAGGCCGTGAGGCAGGGCAGAGGGACGGCTCTGGAAGCATGGGTCCTGATGTCCCAATGCCCAGGAGCTATTGTCTTTCACCTTTGTGTGATGAGGCCTTGGAGACAATTCCCTTCCATGGAGGATGTGATTCTGTTTTTCAGGAAACTCAAGTCGTTGGAGAAGTATATCTGATAAAGCCACATTATACCATTATGAGGTGAGTGTATTAGATATTATTTTCTCCATTTCCTCCCACACCTTCCCCAGGGGCCCCTTCACTCGTCATTAACAGCACTGTCTTTCCCTTCCTCTCGGCTCCTATTTCATTTATTTTCCCCACCACTGTTTGGTACTTACTTCTCTCATTTCTCACCTATCAGTTTTGCTTACTCACCTAGCTTCTAGAGAGTTCTTTGAGAATGGGATCTGCTCTCACTTTTTTTTTTTAAGATTGGCACCTGAGCTAATAACGGTTGCCAATCTATTTTTTTTTCTTTCTGCTTTTTCTCCCCCAATTCCCCCAGTACATAGTTGTATATTTTAGTTGTGGGGCCTTCTAGTTGTGGCATGTGGGACGCCGTCTCAATGTGGCCTGATGAGCGGTGCCATGTCTGCACCCAGGATCCGAACCAGCGAAACCCTGGGCCACCGTAGCGGAACGCGCGAAGTTAACCACTCGACCACGGGGCTGGCCCCGACTTGTTTTTTTCAATACCAGAAATCTACCAAATTCTAGGTGCACCGCTGGTATTCGAGGATTGTTTGTTAGTCGAACGAGTGGCTTGGAAAACAGAGTGACTTTCTACGGAGATGACCCCTGGAAGTGTTTCCTTCTGTCCCAGTATAGCCACCATGGTGCGACAGCTCTTTGCTATTCTCAGAGGTGCATCCTTTTATCCTCCTACTGTAGAGCCACATGCCCTGTGAAGATCCTGACTAGTGAATTTTGGAAAGAGAATCTCTGAGAACTGTAACTCAACTTTGGGTAGAAGTCTATTCCGAATTCTGTGGACAACTTGAGTCTTGGGAGCATGTCTTTTTCTTGCACATAGTAGGCACTCAATTAAACTTCGTTCAATAAATAAAGAGAAAACCCCTCTTGTTTAAATAAAAGAGTGAATTCGTGTTAGTTGCACATCTACCACGTGCATAGCTGGATTGAACTCTTTTATCTTTAGGACCCACGGGAAGAAAACAAGGGAACATACGGCGTCTGCAACAAACGCTCTGCTCTGCTAACGGAGAGGGGAGGCTGTTTGCATGCCCATCTTCACCGTGATGGCTCTCTATTTCCCTCTGGTGGCGGATCTGTGCACTGCACTTGATATTTCTGAGGTTCCACTGAGGTTAGATTTGAATAGAACAGACTGTTAAAGCCTGCAGGGTCCTTAGAGGTTTTTGATTCCAGTATTTCTCCAGCTGGAGGGATTGTGATGGATTCTGAAAAGCCTCTGAATTCTCTACAAGATTAAAAATTAGTGTAAGTTTCGGTGATAATCTAAAATACAAGCATATTCTGGGTTACGCAGATGCCCATTTTCTATCCACGCACCACCCTCCAATTCTGTTTTCTCGTTTATGTTGTGTTTACAGTCAGGCTGGTGCGAAGGGTTACTATTTCAATTGCCAAGGGAGCCTCAGGAGGTTCAGGGTCCCTGTACCAATACAGGATTTGCAGTTTGAGAACCACGAGCAGCATACTACAGTATCAGCAAACCCTGTGCAAAAGTCCTGTGGTCTCAGTACCACTCGTGGAGGTGAGAGGCAGTGTAGTCCAGAAACGTGACACTCTCTCACGTTAGTTTTGCCAGTGGAGTTCTGTTGACGTGTAGCGTTATTGTTTATTTAAAAAATGTTTTAAAATGTGCTTTGGTGCTATTAAGAGCTATGAGTCTAAATAGTTTACACCTTATTTCATAATTGTGTATACATGTGTCATTACAGTACCAATGAAGTAATCCAACCGTGGAGGCCTGCAAATTTTCCCTTTAAAAGTGGTCCAGATGTTGCGCACGTTGAGATGATGCAACTGAGGCCCAGAGGAGTGACCTCATTCACTCAGCATCACGTGGTAGCTGGTGGCAGAGCCAGATATGCCCACAGGAGCCTGAGCTTTCAGACTCGCAGCCCTGTCTTCTCTCCACTGTGCCACACACAGCACCTGGAGCTAAAAAGTCTGTTTCGATATAAACTCTGCTCTTTGCTCCACTCTGTCAGTGGAGACCTGATCAATAATCATTCAAAAATAATAGACATTGGGGTATGTTACTCCTTTTCATGCTGATTCAAGTCAAAGTGTATTTCACACTGTTCACTGGACTCGTCTCAGCACCATAAAAAGTATAACATGCGATTCTCACCAAAGAACAGCTTATAATTAAATTTGGGGGAAGGACATACATGGAATTTCTAAATAATTAAGGATAGTGAAGGAAGATACAGCATCCAGTGAGTGGTAGACTGCCACCTTTTGTCCCACCTGCCAGGCGTCTCTTAACACTGATTTTCTTCTCTGCATCCCAGCAGTAAACTTTCTGAGCCGAGAATGAAGCCCAGTTCCCCTTGGTACCTCTGGTGCATCTGCCGAGGGCTCTAGGCCTCCACTCCTGTCTTCCAGAAGTGGACTGGGGACATTCCTCAGGTCCTTACGCGAGAATATGGCAGCCTGGCCTCGGTCTCTGACAAACACACTTTCACGAGGTCTTAGCGTGTGGGAGGCTGCTCAGGACGAATCCAGGTCCTTGCAGTCGAAGGTCTCTTTCTACCAGCAGTTTCTCTGCCGTTGGCACAGCCCAGTTCGCCCGGCTAAAACAGCAGCGAGCTCCCACTGTGGTTGGCCAGTGGCCCTTGTCACCGGTAGGGCTGCATGTGCCCAAAACACTGCTACCACAGAAGTGTGTGTGCATGCATGAATGTGCATGCACAGGTGTGTACCAGTGCGTGCACATGTGTGTGTGCCTGCGTGTGCACACAGACATGCATTTGCACGCTCATGGGAGGAGTGACTGGCTTCCAGCCACTGCAGGGAGAGGAGCAGCTCTGGGTAGAGTTTGGCTTTTTTAGGCAGACGTGCTCCATGGGGGACCCCAAACGTCCCCACTGGAGTATTTCTGAATCAGTTTGGACTCTCAGAGATTATGTGACTCCAACCCAAATCTCCAACCCAGGGGTGTGGTGTTTCCTAATTCCAGGCTGGGTAGCTGTAAATCCAGCCAGTGTCCTCTGCAGGTGTGGCCCTGCATCTCCACGGCCTCCAGATAGAGGTCCTGTATCTGTAACATAAGGAAATGCGTAAGCAATGGTTACAGAGTTTGTGAAAACTAAGACAGTCTCTGGTCTTTTCACATGTAAATCATTCATTCATTCCCAAACAGGGGCATTTTATTGTTTCTTACCACTCTGTGTGGGCTAGGCCATTTGGGCCAGGGTTGAGAGTTGGATGACGTCATCCCTCGTCCTCTGTTCTCAGGCAGGCTGGCCTGGGCTCCTTCTCACAGGACCAGTCACCATTGCTGATGTCCCATTGGCCAAGACGTGACATGGCCAAGTCTAGCTTCAAGGGGGGTGGGGAGTAGATTCCACCTCTGTAGGGGGGCAGGGAGGAGCTGCAAAGTCACATCATGAAGGGTGTGTGCCAAGGGCTTGAGGATTTTTCGAGAATCTCCTCCACACCCAAAGAGCAAGGATGAAGACACTGTCCCCACCCTCACGGGATTCAGAGTCTGGATGCCCAGGCAGGGGATTATACAGCCCCCACAAGCCGGTGTCAGAGTTGAGTAAAGCCAAGGGTGGCGTGCAGTGGGCCCCTGCGGTGGACAGAGGCCATCAGCAGGCCGCACAGGCAAGGTGACTCTGCAAGCTGGTGCCAGTGACCGAAGAGGTGAGGACAGGTCTGCTGTCCTGAGCAGCCGCACAGAGCACCAGGCGTCTGGCATGCGGGACGGGGGCTGATGTGGTGCCTGGTGGGTTGCAAGGAGGAGAGGCAGCAGATGAGGCCACCAATTAGCTAATCTGACATTATTACAGAAAGCATGGGACCACATTATTAGTATTTTTAGTCAGTCTCACATTCCTTCTCAGGTGACTTAAAATTTTACTTTTACGAGCCCTAGCAAGTTTACTGGAAAGTTGTACAATTCTTTTCTCTCTCTCTCTTTTTTTTTTTTTTGGTATTTATTAGTGCAAGTGACACAGCAGAATGGAAAATATGTGGATAATTTTTATCACTTTTTTTTGTCTTTTTTTTTTTGAGGAAGGTTAGCCCTGAGCTAACTGCTGCCAATCCTCCTCTTTTTGCTGAGGAAGACTGGCTCTGATCTCACATCTGTGCCTGTCTTCCTCTACTTTATACGTGGGACACCTACCACAGCATGGCTTGCCAAGCGGTGCCATGTCCACACCCGGGATCTGAACCGGCGAACCCCAGGCCGCCAAAGCAGAACGTATGCACTTAACCCCTGCGCCACTGGGCTGGCCCGTTTATCACTGTTTTAAGGGTGATTTACTTAACTCTTTTCCAATTTCAGGTGCGTGTTGACATTTCTGTGCGAGTTACCTTTCTCATCTCAATGATACGGTCAAAGGGAAAACACATTTAACAATCTGTAGCTGAGGCGGTTGCAACTTCATCTTTTTGGATTAAATTTGGCACAAAGATTCTGGCAACATTAAGAGCTGAAATTGTGGGAGATGTATTTATTACGGCCTGTAGCCTCTGTAGCAGAAAGAGAATTTTGTCTGCGGTTGTAAAGAAAAAAGCCTTGAGGATTTATGGAAGCGCAAATTGCCCAGGTATCTCCATAAAGCACTAGTAAGGATAGTGGGGCTCCAGGTGATGAGCGGCGCCGGGGCAGCAGCTGTGTTTTGCTCTCTGCCCCTAAATGACATGGGCCTCTGTGAACAGCTCCCGTTCCTTCCCCCTCCCGTTCATTCCCTTCTCCTTCCACTCTCTTCAACTTCCCGCTCTTCTTTCTTGATTTACGCTAAAAGAAGAAGTAGCTGTGTCTGCGTCCTTGTAAGTCCTGTCCCTAAGCTCTGGATAGAATAGTGATGAGAGCTGCCTTGCGGCTCAGGTGGGATGGGAAAAATCCTGGGCTACTTGTCCAGATGGGCAAGCAGATCTCCCTTCAGGAGACAAAGAGAAAATGCAAGAAGATGCATCAGAAATGGAAGTTTTTACTGTAGTCTTTTTCATTTTTGCATTCCCTTCCCGCCCAAGGCATCCCGCACCTAGGTGTCTAATCTAGGGTTTGGCATTGAGTGAGAGGAAGAGGGAGAAAGAAACCGGAGGCAAGGCAGTCCCCTCTCCTTCTTGAAGCTTCTGTTGGATGGAGATGGGGGCAGGAGAGAAAGGGGAGGAGAGAGACAGAGGGAGAATGAAGGGGAGAACAGAGGAAAGGAAGGGGAGAGAGAAGGAGGGAAGTTAGGGGGAGAAGACGCTTTGGTAGGAGTAAGAGGTTCTGATATTTTGTGCTCTAGCATGGCAGTTTACACATGGAACTAGGACTACATAATTTGGGAGGGAGATTTACAAAGTATCCACTCAACTAAGCACACAGAGGCATTAGTACCAGGATGTTCATTGCAGCATTGTTTATAACTGAAATGTTGGAAACACTTAAATATTCAATAATAAGGCAGTAGTTAAACATTATGGTTTTTCTTCCAATGGAATACTATGCAGACATTAAAACAATGTAAGTAGACCTCTACCTATTGACATTAAAGATATCCATGATGTATTTATTTTAATTTAATTTAATTTAATTTTAGAGGAAGATTGGCCCTGAGCTAACATCCGTGTCCATCTTCCTCTACTTTATATGTGGGATGCCTGCCACAGCATGGCTTGATAAATGGTGTGTAGGTCCACACCTGGGATCCGAACTGGTGAACCCTGAGCTGCCAAAGCGGAACGTGCGAACTTAACTGCTACACCACCTGGCCAGCTCCTCCATGATGTGTTTTTAAATTAAAAAAGAACTTTGCAAAACTTTACAAAACAATATCTCTAGTACAATATTTCTTTGTAAAAAAGAATCTGTGGATTCTTTTTATCTATGGATGCAAAATGTATCTCTGGATGCCAAAAAATCTGAAACAACAGGCATTTGCTAAAATGTTAACTGTG